TTTTTTTTTTTTTTTTGTCTGAGCAATTTATATGAAAGTGGTTGTCCTACAAAACTTCTACTATGACAAGTAAATGAAATGAATAATTAGTTATTTGATTTCTGTATTTTCAGTGAAAGCACATGTATATGACATTGTACATTTTGGATACTTTCTTGAAACTAGACGTTTCTGAAATGAGTTAGGTTATACCACTGTATGAGTCAGAGGTTATTACACACTATTTTCCTAGAGGGTCAACTTTACTTAATGATGGTACATTTGTGCTAAAAAACTTTATATAATTCTTTAGAATATAAAAATTGTAGAAATTTAAAACATAAAACACAAATTTTTTACGAAGTTTCTGCAACAAGATGTTTTGGGCTATGATCCAAACTTCACTTTTTTTTGGTCTGCTTTTAAAGATCATTTGGAAGAAAAAATAGAGAAAATGATGACATATGAAACAAGGTGATGATAATTAGACAGGAGGAGAAAGGTGGAAGAGGCAACTCTGGATTGGATATGAGGAATAAGAGAAAGAAGAAATCAACAATTCCTAAGAGGTTTCTAGCTGAAGTGAATGGAAAGTGCAGAACCTTTCAACAAACCAGAATAAACTAAGATCATAGACTAGTGTAAAGGGAGCATTAGACTGGAGGGTATGAGAAGAATGAAATTGAAGTAAGAAGATAAGTGTTGCTATGGGTTACAATGTGTCCCCAACATCATACATCCATTTGGCTAAGCTCCATATCATGTAGTTTTCCTCCATTTTGTAATCTGATATAATTATCCTATATGTTGTAAATCCTAGATGTTATAGATGTAGGAATCAATCTACAGGATTAGTTCGTATCTTAAGTCAATCTCCTTTGAAATATACAAGAGCAGAGATGAAGGGGCCTGAGCACCACCAGAGTATGTCCGTTGGATCTAGGGTCCCTGCTTTGTGAACCTCCTAGGCCCAGTGAAATACTTATGCTAACACACATGTAGACTTCCACAGGATGCCAAGCCCACGGATGGTGAAAGGAGACTAAGACCATTCTTCAGAGTCAACACAGAGAGAGAGCCTCACACAGAGAAAAAGTCTTTCCCTAGAACCGGTGTCCTGAATTTGGACTTCTAGCCTCTTAAACTTTGAGAGAACAAATTCCTGTTTGTTAAAGTCATCTACTTGTTGTATTTCTGTTATATTAGCGCTAAGACAAGGAGTAACTGAAACTATTAACTGAGCAGCAATAGAGACCTGAGTGAAGTTGTTGTTGTTACTAAATGCTGTCGAGTCTGTTCCGACACATAGCACCCATGTCTAGTGTTTCTGAAAAGCGTCTGGTGGGCTTGAGCTGCTGATTTTGCAGTTCAAACTGACCTTGTGGTACAGTGCGTTATCCTGCAGTGCCACTTCAGGACTCCTGAATGAGGTTAGATAACAGAAACTTATCATAGAATCTATCTGCTGTTAACATGATCTGTAGCAGGAATGCTCGTGAACATAGGGAAGAAAAGTAGTAGTTTGGTTTTCCCAAGATTGGAAAGTTAAGGAGATAAGGAGAAGGACCTCCATGACATGTTAAGCCTTTTTCAGAGACTGAGATTATAGAAGTTCTGGGCGATATGAGGTGCCTCAATTGGAGTGACAATACCTCTTTAGAGAAAAGCCCTGAAACTTCAAGCCCTGTTCTGAAAACTGTTAAGAGGCTTTATTAGGATTTAAGTACCTAATAGTTAAAGCGCCATTAAAAGATGTATTAAATATTCACTTTAACTGATCCCAGGGTGTCCTTGAATTTCACTCAACATTTGCAATTTCTTTGAACTGTCTTTTTTTCCCCCCAGTTCTCCCCCAATACTGATATATATAAGATATATAAATCAAAGTGATATTTTAATTCACTAAGTGACTGAAGGGAAGGTGCACTAAGAAAGCATATTCAATAAAAAGTGGATTTGTTATCGTGTTTGTTACCACAGCTGTACAAAACAGTATGTACACTCAAGATAAATAATCTAAAACATCAACAGTAGAAATCAATCTTTAATACACATGAAGAAACTAAGAAAATATATCTCACCTCTATTTTCTCATTCAAATTACTTAGTTCAAATGGAATTTCTTCTTTGGAGTTTGGCAATTCTTTTCGTCGAACTTTGTTTTGCTTCATCTGGTGTAATCTCAGTTTCTCAAAGCTATTTGTCAGTTTGGAAAACTGTAAATAATAGATAATGTTTACATTTTACTCTTACCATTTATTTCTAACTTGATTTCATAGCTTTTTTTGTGTACCTCTTTGAAAACTTAGTCATGATTGGAAAATGCAGTAAAGCTTAAATGTTCCAATTAGTGAAGATAGAACCAGTTATTAAAACTAAATTATTGAAGCTGAGCACGATTCAGCTTTCATGTAAATTTGGGACTTCATTAACGGCACAGTTAAACAATGATTCACTTGATAAAATGTTTTGTTTTAACCATATGTAGCAAGGCTCACACTTTGAAAAAACATGTTTTTTCTTACTTTTATTTAGTGCCATCTTGTGTTGACAGTTTTAATTTCAGTAACTTGATGTATAAAATAACTAGTTTATACTTTAATCAAGTAAACCATATATTTAACTTAAAAGATATAATTGATGCAGATAGCAAGAAGATAGGTTAAATAAATTTAAATAGAAATTTATTTAATCTTTTCCTTATCAATAATTCTTTTTATAGCTTATATTCAGAATCCCCTCCCCCATTTTTGTCTACCTCCAGATAATAGATTAAATGCAGCATAATGTATCAACATCTGTCCATAAACTTCTAAGTAGCCATTTCCAATAAAAAAAACAAAACTTTTTATTTTGAAACAATTACAGATTCAGAGGAATTTGCAAAGATGTTACAGAGATTCTGTGTCCCCGTCACCCAGTTTCCCCCAATATGTGTTATGTAACTATGATACAATATCAAAATCAGGTTAATTGACATAAATACAACACGTGTGTCTAGTTCTATGTCATTTTGTCATATGTACAGATTTGTGAAGGAGCACTGTGACACAATGGTTAGTGTTCAGCTGCTGGTAGTTGAACTACCAGCCCGTCTGCAGGAGAAAAGGCCTGGCTGATGATCTGTCCTGTAAAGACTGCAGCGTAACACACCTTAAGGGCCAGTGAGTGCTCCTCTATCCTAAAAGGTTGCCATAAATCAGAATCCTACAACAACACAGATTTGTGTGACCAGAACTATGATCAAGATACAGAACTATTTCATCACCATCAAGATCTCCTTCATGTTAGTCCTTTATGTTAAGTGCTGTTGAGATAGTTCTGACTCATAGTGACCCTGTAAAGTTTCTAAAGAGGGACTGGTGGATTTGAACTGTCACCTTGCAGTTCCAATTGACCTTGTGGTCTAGTGCATTATCCCACAGAGCCACACCAGGACTCCAGCTCTTTATGTTGTTTGTTGTTGTTATTAAGTGCTGTCGAGTCGGTGCCAACTCATAGGGACCCTGTACAGGGTTTCCAAGAAGCAGCTAGTGAGTTTGAACCGTTGACCTTGTGGACTGTGGACCATGGACAACACAGCAAAACTTTGGTAGTTTAAACTCATACTTCAGCTCTGTGGGAAAAAGGCGTAGAGATCTACTTCTATAAAGCCAAGAAAACCACATGACGTTCAGCTCTACTGTGTAACACATGGGATCTCCCTGAGTTGGAATCGATTGAATAGCAAGAGACTTGTTTTGTGTTTTTTCAGTGGCTATGAAGCAGCATTTCATAGTGGTTTTGATTTGCAAAGGGTAACTGAAAAAGACAAATGAAATGTGAAACCAAAAGGGAAGAACCCCTCAACATTTTCTAACTGAAAGAATTGAAGAAATTCAAGCCTCAAGTTGCAATACTGTTGGATTCTATGGACAAAATGTGGACACCTGGTGTGGCACTGTAATATCAGCATTGGACTGTAAACCACAAGGTCAGCAGTTCAAACCCACAAGTTGCTCCTTGGAAATAGGGTTGCTATAAGTCAGAACTGACTTGATGGCATTTACTAGCAATCAGCAACCATGGACAAAATAGAGTTTTTGTGTGGTGCTGTAGGACGAGCACTGGACTGTTAATCATAAAATCAGCAGTTCAAATCTACCAGCTGCTCTTTGTAAACCCTACACAGCACTGGTCTGAGTTGGAACCGACTTGACAGCACTTAACAACAGCAACAATGGACATATAGAAAGATGCAGAAGAATCAAAAGTAGAAGGAAGGAATACAGAGTATTGCTGTAGCAAAAAGAACCGGTTAATGTTCAACCATTTCAAGAGATAGCGCATAAATGGTATTGAAGGAAGAAATACAAGGTACACTGAAGGCACTGGTGAAAAACAAAGTCCAGGATGGACAGAATACCAAATGAAATGTTTGAACAAACAGATGCAGTGCTGGAAGTGCTTACTCATCTATACCAAGAAATTTGGAAGACAGCTATTTGAACAACTGACTTGAAGAGATCCAAATTCATACCCATTCCAACGAAAGGTGATCAGTGGAATTGGAAATTACAGAAGCATCTTTTAATGTCCCTGTGTCACTTGACATTTTGCTCAGAGAATCTGACAAAATTGTAACTTGAGTCTTGAATTCCTTTTTCAATTCTTTATTCATTAGTATCATGATGTGGTGGTGGCTGTGTGCCATGAAGTCAGTTCTGATTCATGGCAACCCTGTATAGGATTTCCGAAGCTGTCAATCTTTATAGGAGCAGAAAACCTCATCTTTCTCATGAGGAGCAGCTGGTAGATTCGAACTGCTGACCTGGCAGTTAGCAGTCCAACTCAGAACACATTATGCTGCCAGATATCCTTCATTAATATTACACAAGAGCAAAATTTTGCTGAAGACAATTTAGCAGTGCATAAACTGTCAGAAATTCAAGCTAGAGTCAGAAAGGGATGTGAAACAAGGGATATATCATTGCTGATATCTGATGGATCTTGGCTGAAAGCAGAGAATACCAGAAAGATGTTGAGCTGCGTTTCATCGTCTATGCAAAGGTATTTAACTGTGTGGCTCAGAATAATTTATGGATAGGACTGTAAGGAATGGGAATTTTGAAACACTTAATTCTGCTCATTTGGAATCTGTCCATGGAACAGATAGTCATTCAAATAGAACAAGAGGATACTGAGTGGGTTAAAATCAGGAAAGATATCCATCAGGAATATATCCTTTTACCATACTATTCATTCTATATGCTGAACAAATAATCTGAGAAACAGGACTATGTGAAGAAGAAAGCAGTCTCAGGATTAGAGGAAAACTCATGAAAAGTCTGTAATATACAGATGAAACAACCTTGCTTGCTGAACATGAAGATTTGGAGTACTTACTGATGAAGACTAAAGACTATAGCCTTCGATATGGATTACAATTTAGCATGAAGAAAACAAAAAGCCTAACAACTGAACCAATAAGCAAATGTCATGATAAATGGAGAAAAGATTGAGTTTGACAAGAATTTCACTTTACTTGGTTTCACAATCAACACATGTTGAAGCAGTAGTCAGGAAATCAAATGATGTATTACTGCTTTGGGCAAATCTGCTGCAAAAGATCTATTTAAAGTGTGCCAAAGATGGGGCACAACTCAAAATGACGAGAAACAGCTGTAAACATCCATTGAAAATCAGAACATGGAATGTACAAAGTATGAATCTGGGAAAACTAGATGCTGTCAAAAATGAAATGTAGCTCATTGGCCATTTTGAATCTGACAACCACATGGTTTACTATGCCGGGAATGACAAATCGTCAAAAACAACATATCCACATCAGTCATGAGGTACAATGCTCTCTGTGATAGGATAATATCTAGGCCCCTAAAAAGAAGCCCAGTTAATACCACTATTATTCAAATTTATGCAACAAGCACTAAAGCCAATGAGGATGAAATAGAAGAATTCTACCAACTTCTTCAATCTGAAATAGATCAGCACAGCAATCAAGATGTATTGATCATTACTGGTGATTGGAATGCAAAGGTTGGGAGCAAAGAGGAAGGATCAGTAGTTGGAAAATATGGCCTTGGTGATACAAA